CGTGCGTGCCACTTGCCCGGGGTAGACTTCATTGCCGACGCGATCGTCCGCAGAGCCACAACCTCCGTCGAAGTCGCCGTCGACTTCGTCGAGCAGGGGCGCAGGTCCGTGCAGAGCACTCTGCCAGAGTAGCGGGCGCGACCAAGGACATCGCCGGCAGAAGACACCAACAGCACCTCTGCGCCGCCGTCTTGTAGCTTCACGCCGTTCTCCTTGAGTTGGCCTGCAGACAGCAAGTTCGCATGGACGCCTGGAACATAGAGCACGTCAGGAACGAGAATCTGCTTCCCCGTCCCCCCTTGCAGAGCGACGATGCCACGACCTTCAACGTTCTGCAGAGCCCCGTTGAAGCCACGCACATGTTTGATATCGCCGCGAGGCTTCATCTCGACGAACGCCTCCTTCGTCCCCATCAGATGGTGGGAAAAGCCGCTGTCGAGCAGCACGGCCATTGGGTTCGCCTGCACAGCGGCAGCGACGGCCTTGAAATCTTCGCCAGCCTCCAGCGCCAGCGAGATCGTCGGCTCCACCACGCTGACCATCGAGCACGAAGCCTCCTCACCACGAGCATTACCGCCAGAGGAGTTCGCATCCTTCGTCGAAGACGTCTTCGACGGCTGCTTCTCCTTGCGCGGCTGGTTGTCCCACGACGACGGCTACCATCTCCTTTTCTGCGGTTGGCGTCCCGGCCGTCATCAGACTCGTCTCGATCGGGGCAGTCGTATGAGTGGTGATCGGGAGCATCGCAGATGTAGCAGCGACATTCTCCACGACGCGAGCCACCGCCACCGCGATCTCCCCCCTTCGCCGATTTTCCGCGGTCGGCGCCCTCCGTTGATTTCGCGTTCGACGACTTCCCACCACCGCCTCCGGCAGACTTCCCGCGCTGCCCCTGTTGGCGTCCCTGCTTCGCCGGGGCGACGTAGTTGGCCTACGGAAGCAGTTCTGAGGGCCTCTCGGACTCCTGCATGAACTCGTCGTTGATGATCTGGCTCGAAATCGTATCCTCGTCGAGCGTCTCACGCGCGCCAGGCATCGCCAACATTCGGCGCAACAAATTGTAGCCCGTCGGCAGACCCTTGAGGACGTGCGTAATGTAGGAAGCTGTAGAGTAGTTGACACCGGCCATCCGCAGTTCGGCCAAAATCCGTCGAGCACGAATGCAGTACTCGGTCGCAGACTCCTGCTCGCCCATCTTGATGTTCGCCAGCCTCTGCTCCAGCTGGCCGATGTAGAGGTCGTCGGTCGCCCTGTAAGTGTGCATGATGTACTGCCACGCTTGGTAGCCAGCATCCACCCGAAATCTGCACGACTTCAATGCGACTTGCACCAGCGGCGAACAACACCTCGAAATGACCATGAAGCAGCGCAAAACTCTGACCACAGCTCGACTTCCTCTTCATCCGGCGCTAACACGTCTCCATCGACGAACTTCTTCAATCCGGCGATCTCCAGCTGCGGTTCGATAGACTCCGTCCACGTGATCAAGTCGTGCCGACCTTCGAGCGGCTTCGGCACAGCGATCTTGTCCGACAAAAATTTAAAGTAGCCATACGATGGCGCGATGCCTCCATCTCGACCAGCCGACGCATGAATCGCCGAAGTCGGCCCGACTCCACTCCGCTCAATAGAACGTCGTCGAACGTCGTTGTTGTCGTTCGAGCTTCCTGCCGCCGCCGAATGCTGAACTCGTGCCTGCACTCCGCCGACACTGCCATCGGCTGCCCAAATCACTCCACGCGTCATCCTCGTGCCTCCTTCGCTGCCGACTTGGTTACCACCATCGACCTGGTCGTCAACGCCACCTTCGTTGCGTGCTAGTCGGGGAGTGGCGGGCAGACCATCCGCCTCAGTACGGGTCGTTGGGTGATCGCGCGCCCACTGCACGCGGGTTCCAAAGAGCATAACATCCAAGTTTGCTCTGCCGTACTCGCCAGCTGCGTGGCGTGCCCGAACGTCATCTAACCGCGCTTGCAGGGTATCCTCTCCGCCTGCTGCGACCTCCTGGTCGACCATGGCGGTCTAGACGGCTGCCGGCCTACTACAACTTAGGTAATGAACGCAAGCATCGGCTATCTGAAGGTTCTAACGCGGGGCCGTCCACGCTCACCGCACCATGCGGAGAGTCACCACACAACGTGAGTGAAGTACGGAGGAGGGCATGGGGTTGTGCAAGTGATCGTAGCGCTCTAGTAGTGTCCTTAGTACTCGCTGTGTTCACAGAGAGGTTTGACAAGAATTCCACTATGGAAGTTCGAAGGGACAACTTGCATTAACAAAGTTGATAGGAAAAGAATAGAGTACAATTGAGGCATGCAGAAGGATATGACTAGAATGGCATGCAACACCTAGCAAGGGCGAACTCTGCCAGCGCAGCAGAAGAGCGGCTTGCCTACGCTGTAGCAGAGTAATCTGCCAGCGTTGCACTGCGCGCGGTCTGCCAGCACTGCAGTCGCAGGTGACTATCTGCAGTCGCAGGTTGTCTATCTGCGCAGATGTGCGCACCTACCAAGTAGGTGCAGGTTGGCGGTTTCACCGTCAGGCACATTGCGCAGGTGCCAGGTAGAAAACGTGTCGTCGATTTCACCACGTGCGCACCGTCGACCACGTGATGCCGTTCTGCAGGTACAACTTCACCAAAATCTCCTGGGCGAAAGTTCGCACGCCTCCGCAGAGTTTTGCACCACTCTGAAACTTCGGTCGATCAGCTCGACTCTGCTCGGTCGAACAGCGTTCCCAGAGCAGAGCTTCTCGACCAGAACTCTTCGACCAGAGTTCTTCGACCAGCGCTCGTCGACCAGGCGCAGAGATCGTCGACCAGATTCGGTCGAGCAGAGCCTGCTTGACCGCAACTTCTGTCGGACTGCAGAAGCACACTTTTTCGCGAACTTCCCTCCGACGGCGAGATCGGCTACGCTCAAGCGAGGGCGGGGCCATTTCCTTCGACACTCCCCTGCCGCGCTCACGCTTGGGCACCCCACACACAAGGTCCACCCAGAACCCAGAGGGATTGAATACAAGGAGAAATTTCCGTCTGCGTGCACCCCAAACATAGCACGCAAATCACCGCACCAGCTGTGCAGAAGGGCGCGGCACCTACTGCTACACCTCGTCATCCCTGTCACCCACATCTGCCAGATGCACTTGGCCGATTGCGACGGAGCACCGGTTGAAAGCCGGAAAATGCAGCGCCTTCGTCAGAAAATCCGCCGGCTGCTCGGAGGTCGGGATGTACTGCAGAGCAATTTTCCCGCGCTTCACCATCTGCTGCAGCCAGGCGTAGCGTCGCTCCATGTGCTTGAGGTTGCCCTTGAGCCCCAAGCCCTCTGCGACTTTGATTGCCGACTGGTTGTCCACGTGCAGAACAGTCGGCTTCTTCGGGTCGAGCAGGCGAAATTCCGCAAGGAGGAAGTGGAGACGGCGAGCCTCCTTGCCGGCTTCGGTGGCCGCGACGTACTCTGATTCGGTCGACGAAAGCGTTGCGCACTTGATGAGCTGGCTCGACCACGAAACTACGGCTCCTCCGAAGACAAAAATGTAGCCGCCCGTGCTCGCACGCCTCCGCAGAGTTTCGCACTACTCTGAAACTTCGGTCGATCAGCTCGACTCTGCTCGGTCGAACAGCGTTCCCCGAGCAGAGCTCCTCGACCCGAACTCTTCGACCAAAGTTCTTCGACCGGCGCTCGTCGACCAGAGCTCGTCGCGCAGAGTTCGTCGACCAGATTCCGTCGAGCAGAGCCTGCTCGACCGCAACTTCTGTCGGACTGCAGAAGCACACTTCTTCGCGAACTTCCCGTCGACGGCGAGATCGGCTACGCTCAAGCGAGGGCGGGCCATTTCCTTCGACAGAATTCTCGCCTTCTTCGCGTATCTGTTACAGCCTTAGCTTTCGCGAGAACCAACCGTTTGGTCGACAATTGGGCGTGGTTGTTAAAATGTTCCACGCCCTTAGGTTCCATGCTCATTCACCACTTCCTCACCAGCCCCCACGTGCCACCTGCCAGTCTCTCCAATTGCCCCACGTCACGCGCCACGTCACGAGCTCCCGTTCCCCCCCTGCCTCGATTGCGTCGCAACCGCGTCAACTCCAAAACACATTCACTGCTCCTTCACCCAACAAAGGTAACTTGGTGGGATTCGCGTTTCCCCCAGCGATCTATGATCATCGCCCCGCCACCGTTCTTTCGCGGCTAGAAGCAAATCAGCCGGCGCTCTTTCTCCGCGCCGTGCGAACCGCATCGCCTGCCCCGATGGCGCACGCCGTTATCGCCGCGCACTCCAGCGCCGGGCTGCAGGCGCGCCAAGCGCAACTGGCGGGGAGCAGCGGCGACACGGCGGCTCCCTTGCCGTCGCGCGCCCTTCCAACGCGGAGAGCGCGCTTGACAAAGAGTGCCTCGCTGGCTCGTCGCAACGAGTCGCGCAGTAGCGCGAATGCGGCACGCGTCGTGCGCGCGGCGGCGGCGGCAGAGGCGGATCCGGCGGCGGGCGTGGCGGAGTACAAGCCGCGGTCGTACGACGAGCTCGTCGCAGGTCCGTGCGACTCTCGCCGATCGCCGTGAGGCGCTCTTCAAGGCTGCACTGGATGTGCTGGTGTTACGCGCATTGCGGCCTGCATCGCGTACGAATTCGCGGGAGAATCCGCGGCGATTGATATGCGTGATGGCCGGCGTGGCGCGTGGCGCCTACCGTGTGCGCCGCACGCGTGTGACGAGCTGCCTGCACGTCTTTTTCGCGCCTCTGCGTTGCACAAGTCTCGTCGCACAATCGAAATTAACGGTCCGATGTGGTCGCGTTTAGTAGCCCTGTAACCTGTGGCATTCGCCCTCGCATGCTGCGCTCTCCCGTTGCGTGGTGCGCCGCCGGGTACCCAGCCATTCCCCGCCACGGGTCATTGCGCCTCGCTGCGGATTGCCCTCCGCCGCTGCTCCCCCTCTCAATTCGTTAAACCGCTTCTGCCCTCACCCACCTCCCGCATTCCTCGTTGCGCCCATCCCTCCCAGACGCAGCGCGCGCAGTGCAGATGGCGTTGGCGGACGGCCTCACGCGCATTGAAGTCGACTTCCCGTCAGTCCCCCGCCCACCCCACTCCTTCCGCCCACCCCAACCCTTCCGCCCACCGCACCCTTTCCGCCCATCCCGCTTCTTCCGCCCACCCCAACCCCCGCTCAACCATCGCTGCTCCCCCGCACACCGCGATCTCTGCACCATGTGCCGTGGCGTCACCACCGCCCCTCCCACTACGCACACCGCATTGACTGGACGCGTTTCTTGTGCCCCGTGCAGCGTTTCTTGTGCGTGCAGCGTTTCTTGTGCCCCGTGCAGCGTTTCTTGTGCCCCGTGCAGCGTGCATTGCTGTCCGCCTTTCTGCTCCCAGCGCCTGCCCTCCCATCTCCCGCTCATGCACCCCCTTGTTGTCTGTCTCTTTGCGTGCATGTGTGTATGTGTGTGTGTGTGCGCGCGCCTGTGTGTGTGTGTGTGCTTGTGTGCGTGCATGTGTGTGTGTGTGTGTGTGTGTGTGTGCGTGTGTGTGTGTGTGTGTGTGTGTGTGTGTGTGTGTGTGTGTATGTGTGTTTGCATGCGAATGTGTGTCTCTGTGGGCATGCACATGCGAGCATGACAGCCCGCTGCCAAGTGGGAAGGCGGGCTACGAGGTGAAGCCCTGACGCCTTCTACCTTCTTCCTCTCTTCCCATCCCCTCCTCCCATCCCCTCCTCCCATCCCCTCCTCTCATCCGCTCCCCCACCACTTCTCTCTTTCCGTTCATCCCGTTTCAATCCTCCCTCCATCTTGAATCTCTTCTCCGTCCGCCTCCCTCTCCTCCGGTCGTTCGCTTTTCCTTCCTCTCATCCATCTCTTCCTCAACCCTTGCTGCTAATCCCGTTTCCCTCCGCTCTCCCTGCTTCCTCTCCTCGCTGCTCCTCTCATCGCGTGCGCTGTGCTGTGCAGCGCGCCACAAGGAACCCAACCACGCACCGCACACTTCTCACACCTCTCACGCTTCCTTTAAGCCCCACCGCTGTGGATTTCTCCCCACTGGCACTCGTTGCCATCACCCCAACCCCACTCCCCCTTCCCCCCCTCCCCCTACATCCCCCTCCGTCGCTGCTGCTGCACACCTCCACGGCCCTGCCACTCATTCCCTCCCTCCCTTGTCGCCCATCCCCCCCCCAACTCTGCCCGGGATGTGCATGTGTGGTGCGCGGCGGGGCGGGGCTGTGGCACGGCAGGGGTCATCGGAGGAGTACATAGAGGCCAACATCCAGCTCGCCCTCGCGCTCATCCGCCGCCTGCACGCCGCCACCGCCACCACCGCCAAGATCGTGAGCTCTGCCCGTCCGCACGCTTTGCCATGTCCGTTGCTGCTCCATCATCCCCCCTGCATCTGCCACCCACTGCACCTTGTTTCCCCAGCTCATTCCTCCTCGCCCATCTCCCATGGCCCCTCTCTCCGCTCATCCCCCCATGGCCCCTCTCTCCACTCATCCCCCCGCGGCCCCTCCCTCAGGTGCTTCCTGACGGGCCCGAGAAGCGCCGCTGCTCCCGCCGCTTCAAAGCTGCCCTGGACATGGTGAGATGAAACGACACTGAGATGAAACGGCATGGTGAGATGAAACGACACAGTGGGATGAAACGACACTGTGAGATGAAACGACATGGTGAGATGGAACGACATGGTGAGATGAAACGGCATGGTGAGATGAAACGACACAGTGAGATGAAACGACACAGTGAGATGAAAGGACATGGTGAGATGAAACGACATGGTGAGATGAAACGACGTGGTGAGGTGAAAGGACATGGTGAGGTGAAACGACATGGTGAGGTGACACGACATGGTGAGGTGGCACGACATGGTGAGATGAATGAAACGTCATGGTGAGATGAATGAAACGACATGGTGAGATGAATGAAACGACATGGTGAGATGACGCGGCATGATCAGAGGAGTGTAGATGAAGTGCGGTGCAGTGCAGGTGGAGCATACGAAAAATTAAGAGTGCAATCAGCTAAAGAGCCATTCAGATTCAGCAATGCCAGGCCATACCATGTTATTGATTCCCGACGCACTCCTCTCACCACATGGCTTGCCTGTGGGGCCCACCCGCCCGGCCATGCAGACGGACGGGGTGTCGCTGGGGTGCTTGGAGGACGACCCCGTGGCGCCACCGGGGCAGGCGGGCGCGCCCCAACAACCCAGCGGAGGGGGAGGCGGAGGCGGAGGGGGCGGCTTCTTCTCGGCGCTGAAGAACGCGCTCGACCTCGACTTCGGTGGCCAGGAGACCGGTGCGCACGGGTGCTGGGGATAGTGGTGCAGCGGGGACGGAGGGAGGAATGGTATGGGGTGGGAGAGGGATATAAACTTGTTGTTAATGTACCGATTTTTCACCTCCTCCTCTCCCCTCCGTTCGACCCTGCACCCCCCTTCCATGGCCTCTTGTCGTTGCTCTCTCTTCCCTCCGCCCGCCTTTCCTTCCTCTCGTTGCCTCGCCGAATTTCAACCTGTGAGCTGCTTGCTTTGCGCGCACTGTCCCTTGTGCGATCTCCCTCTTTTAACTCCCACCTCCTCTCCACACTTGAACCGCCATCCTCTTGCCAACTTTGCCATCCTCTTCCCCTCTTCCCCATGGCGGGGCATGGCAGGCGAGTGGGCGGAGGCAACGCCATCGGACCTGTACATCATCGCCAACACCAGCTGCCAGGAGCTGCCCGCCGTTGAGGCTTACCTCGTCAGTACCACTCTCCCCCCTTCCTCTCTCCCACCTGCCCGCCCACCCGGCCACCCGCCCTGCGACCTACCTGCCCGTGCTGCAGCGCATGCCATGCCACCCCACGCTGCCTCAACTGCCCTCAATGCCTCCTCCCACTGCTCACCCCGTGCGCCCCTCCCACTCATTCCTTCCCCTCCCTCACCCTACGGCCCCCCTCCCCCCCCCACCCCTCCCGGCAGGAGAAGCTTCCCCCCGCCACGCCAGTGCTGCTCTTCAACCTGGAGCTCGACACGCTCAGGTGATTGCAACAGAGCTCGACACGCTCAGGTGATTGCAACAGAGCTCGACACGCTCAGGTGATTGCAACAGAGCTCGACACGCTCAGGTGATTGCAACAGAGCCAGGTGAAAATGCAACTGCATGTGTACATTTCGTTTAACTCCCCTGCACCTTTCTCTCGTTTTAATCTCTTCCCTACCCAACCGGCCTGCACTGCTTCCTTCCTCCACCTCCCTTCCCTGCACTTCCACCCCTTGTCCCCCTTGCCCCCCCTGCGCCCCCTTGTCCCCCTTGCCCCCATTGCGCCCCCCTGCCCGCCATCAGGGCGGACCTGGGCCTACTGGGCTTCCCCCCCAAGGACCTGCACTACCGCTTCCTCTCCACCTTCCGCCCCGTCTTCTACCTGCGCCCACGCGACTACTCCAAGGTGCGCCGCATGCTGCAAGGTGCACCTATGGATGACCAGTAGCATCCGTGCCCCCGTTGGTGCTCCCTGGCCCCCGTTGGTGCTCCCTGGCCCCCCTCACACTGCAAGATGCACACGGCGTTATCACGTCGCTCATTCTCTTCTTACCTTTCACCCACTGCACGCCTCACACACACCACCCACTCCCATACCCCCATCTCCTTTTCTCTTTCCTTTCCTCTCACTTCTGCTCAACCCCCCACCCCACCATGTCCTTTTGCATGGCTCTGCTGACGTGGCATGTGCGGAATGCAACGGACCAAGTCAGAGTGTGGCGGTGTCGCCATTCATCCTCAACTACAGCGGCGCGCTCTTCCGAATGTATCCAGGTGTGCTGCCATGCCACCCCGCACGCATTCATGCCATGCCCACTGCACCGCAGTGTCTGCTGTGCTTGTCTGTATGTGTGAGTGTGCGTGCGTGTGAGTGTGTGTGCGTGTGTTTGTGGAGCACTGTACCCTATATGTGTCTGCCTACGAGTGTAATCATTTCTTCCCGTACATCCTCACGCGCCCCTCACACACGCCCCTCTGCCCGGCGTGGCAGCGCCATGGCAGGTGATGGTGAAGCAGGAGGGCACGGGCTCCTATGTCTGTGTGGCGGAGGGGCCACACCGCTTCCAACTCGGACAGGTCCGCCCCATGCCTTCCCCCCATGCCTTCCCCGCATGCCTTCCCCCCATGCCTTCCCCCCATGCCTTCCCCCCATGCCTTCCCCCCATGCCTTCCCCCCATGCCTTCCCCCCATGCCTTCCCCCCTGCCTTCCCTCCATGCCCCTCTGCTCTGCTGCCCCTCCTGCCCCCTACCCCTCCTCCCCCCTGCCCCGTGCGTCTGGCCCTCTGCTGCCCGCCCCCTCTGCTTGCTGTGCCCTGGGGCCGGCAGGTGAAGGAGGAGCTGCAGCGCGCGCTGGGGCTGGGCGAGGAGGACGGCTCCACCATGCAGTTCCTGCGCCGCGGCTACAAGGTCAGTGCAGTTCCTGCGCCGCGGCTACAAGGTCAGTGCAGTTCCTGCGCCGCGGCTACAAGGTCAGTGCAGTTCCTGCGCCGCGGCTACAAGGTGACGCACGCTGGGGGAGGGGGTGGAGGGAGAGGCTACAAGGTGACGCACGCTGGGGGTGCAAGGGGGGGGGAGGGAGAGGCTACAAGGTGACAGGTGGTGGGGGGGACGAGGGAGTTAAAGTAGCAAGGCGTTAGGACGGAGGTGGACGGGGAGAGGTGGGGGTAGCAAGGCGAGGGGGAGGGGAAGTGGTGCGCACGACAAGGAGAGGAGCAGAGCTTGGGCGAGAGGGCCATGTGGGGGCATTGCTGTAGGTGTCTGGGATGACGTTGCAAGTGGACAGGGGGGAGGGAGTGCGTGTTGCCCGTGCGGCTCTGGTTCTCAGGTGCCCTGAGCGGTGCTAGGTGGTGATGGACAGTGGTGCGCAGTGAGGTGAGGTGGGGCGAGCATGTGGGTGGAAGTGGGGTTCACTCCAGGTGACCCTCCCTTCACCTCTGTCCTCACTGCCACCGCCCTGTGGATAGGGGTGTGCCTGCCCTGTGGATAGGGGTGTGCCTCTCATGCTCTGCCCTGTGCCTCTCATGCTCTGCCCTGTGCCTCTCACGCTCTGCCGTGACGTGTGTGCAGACCAACACTTGGTGGGAAGAGCAGTCAGAGCAAGAAGTGTCAACAGAGTGGAGAAGCTGAAAGATGATGACTATAGAGGGGATAAAGAGTATGGCACACAAGGCACATGTACAATTGCAGGACAACTTTGTACATCAACATGGTGGAAAACATCTTTTCACATCTATTCCCTTGGGGGAAACATAGGTGACCGTGGAGTGGATAAATTTACGCCACTGACCCAAATCTCTCCCTCATTTAACAGTCGAATAACATACTCAGCCGATCCACCAGCCCCTGTGCGAAAATCCCGCACGCAACTTGAAAAGTGGTTGACATTGTTACTCATGTTCGATGCTGGACTTTGCTTATTGAGCCCTATTCACAAAGAAAATACTATCTACACTACACTCTATGGTCAAGTACTCGTGCATGGGCACACAGTCAGCACAATACAGTCAATCAGAGTTGCACAATGTACTACTTTCTCCAGCACATCAATGAAGGCAATCAACTGATCCAAACGACAACTTTGAAGTGAATAAAAGTCACACAACACAATACAAGGAGAGGAGAGGAAACCTCTCTTCAAACAGCTCAACATTCTGATGTGCAAACCCCATACTGAAGTCTGACTCCTTATTCCTTATTCCAATACCACCCACCCAGTAGTCCATCAACGAGTACTATCTGCTTCATACGGGTCCTTGATTTTCGTATTTACACCTCCCGCATGCTGATGTGCGTCCGTCCCACGCGCGACCACACCATCAGCTGTGCGCGCGGGCGCTCAAGGCAGGCAGCAGGCGCGCAGCTACACGGGCGAGCGCTCGTGAACGACCTTCACTGTGCGGGGCGGGCAGCAGCAGTCGCAGCAGGCGCCGAGGCAGTTGCAGAAGCACATGACGAGCGCGATGACCACCGACACGAGCCCCAGCAGCAGCAGCAACGCGCCCCACCACGGCGTGCGGTACTTGTAATCTGCGCACGGCCCGCGTACGCCACACAGAGAGATGCTTAGAGGCGCGCGCGAGGCACGTTACGGACACGCGTCAACCGAACCCGACAGTCGTGACGCGCGCCTTCTGGTAGCGAGGGACTTGGCGCCGCATGGCGACTGCTGCGATACGGGCGACTGACGCGCGCCCCAGCACGGCGCGGTGGGTTGAGTCGCGCACGGCGGAAAGACATCGACGGTGAGGAAGCGCGCAACTCAAGCATTCGTAAGAACCGGCGGCGCGGCGGCGGGCGTGTTGGACGGCGCGGCGCCGCGGGAAGGCGTTGCGAGAGCGGCGACCTCCACGATGAACGCGACTTCGGCGTCGAGCGGCACGCGCGCAAGCGGTGGCTTACCGGTGGCGGCTTACCGGTGGCGGCTTACCGGTGGCGGCTTACCGGTGGCGGCTTACCGGTGGCGGCTTACCGGTGGCGGCTTACCGGTGGCGGCTTTCTGGTGGCGGCTTACGGTGGCGGCTTACCGGTGGCGGCTTACCGGTGGCAGCTTACCGGTGGCGGCTTACCGGTGGCGGCTTACCGGTGGCGGCTTACCGGGAGTGTAGAAGTAGCCGTCGCTGTAGACGAGCAGCGCCGCCGCCTCGCCCCTGGCGATGGCCTCGCAGAGGAGCAGCAGCAGCACGACGCGCACGCGTGCCAGCAGTTGATCAAGCCCGGCCATAGTAGTGTCTCGCGATGCGTGGGCTCTCGCGATCAGTGCGACAGCTGCGATGTGTCGACAGGATCTCGATATGAACACGAGTTAGTAAGGCACCGTAATAGTTGCGAGAGATTCGAACAAGAATAGAGCATCTGTTTCTCCGTCATTCCGGGTTGGCGGTATCTGTAATGCATTTCCATTGACTGAGCTTGAGATGGTTCATGATCACGCTCGCCGCGAAGCCCGCTGGAAGCTATTGGCAGGGAGTGCCAAATTAGTGGCGCATATAATTTCCAGAGAGGCATCTCGCCTCTGAAAATTCCAGAACGGGGCAAAACGGCTGTTTGTTCCCCTTATTGGCATCTTTGTTGACCACCCTCGAGAAAAAGGGGGCTTTGGTAATTATGTAACAGGCAGGCACAAATCAGCCAAGTGAAATGCATATACTATCTGATTATTTGGTGTTATGTACCGTATCAGGAAAATTTCTCAGACTCCCAAATAGTTTTTGTTGCGATCAGAAGTTGATCGACCCTAGGATCTCCTCAGGGAGGTTCGCACATAGCTGATTGGCAGTGGTGGGCCCTTCACCTCAAAACAGAGTTAATGTAAAATGTTCGATATAATTAAAACATGCAAATACAACTTTATAAATAGTAGTACAAAGGGAATGCGAAACGACCTAGCTAGCCATGTACTCTAAGGGGTACATTCCCTTTCTCATATTCAAACCCAACCGTGCGGCGCGTACAGTTACGAAACTGTTTGCCGTTTGCTCGTGCAGCTGCCCGATGCCGTTTGCTCCGACAGTCCAGTTCCATTTCATCTGTCTGCGTTGCTTCGAGTGAACTCTGACTCTTCATGTTTACACTCGATACTGTGTGCCTCGCTTGCTGCGGTTAGGAGTGCACAATCATATTTCACTATTCGTAACACCCCCCTTCACTCCTGGCCGTAGCTCGACTTGACCTGCTTGACTACTCCGCTGAGTTCGGAGCAGTGCTGGTACTGCTGACGTGGCAGTCGCTTCGTCAGGAAGTCAGCTGCCATGTCACCTGTCGGGCACTAAGTCAAGTCTACCTTCCCCTTGTCCACTTCGTCCTTGACGAAGAAGTACCGCAGCGCGATATGGTTAGTGCGGTTGACGAATCCGGGCTTGTTCGCGATGCGGATCGCGCTCTGGTTGTCGCAGTGTAGGCGAAAGGTGGGCGAAACTGGGATTTTCGCCTCCCGTAAGAGTTCCTGTAGGTAGCCTTCGCGAACTGCTGCTATCGCGGGATGAACTTAGCTTTAGCCGATGACAGAGCAGCCAGCTCCTGCTTTTGCGAGTTCCATGAAATTGGTCCTGTCAGCTCGAAGCGAAACAGGAACCCAGTCCTGGACCGTCGATTGTCGGGGTCTGCTGCGTGATCAGCGTCCACGTAGCCGATGAGGTTGAAGGATGGGGTTGGCACTGTTGAGTAGCACAGCTCAATCTTGGTCATCGAAATGAAGAACTGTAGAGCGCGCTGCAGATCCAGAAGGTTCTCAGCCGTTGGTTTGCGGGAGTACTGAGCCAGTTGGCTCGAGATGTAGGATAGATCAGGCCTGCAGGTAACAGAAGCGAAGAGCAGACATCTTAGCTGTTGCTGGTAAGTCTGGATTCCAGCAGGGGATAGGGCTTTGTTGTCGGGTTTGTGGTTCGGTCCGGGAGTGCAGTAAGGGGTGGAGAGCGGTGCAAGTGAGATGTTAAAGCGTTTCCCAAGCTCCTCTGCATACTTAGTCGCTGAGAGGTGAATGGCTTTTGGCACGTAGGAGTTGCTAAGTCCTAAGAACTGCTTCATTTCGTTATTGCAGGTAATGTGAACACGCCCTGCCAGATTCCTCTCCAATTGCTCAACAAGTTCATTGCCCCGTGTATAGCAAATCGTCGACGTAGAAGGTGAGCAGAATGTAGTCTTCGTGGAAATCGCGGCGGTACATTCCAGGGTCATGAGGCATCTGCTTGAAGCCTATCTCGAGCAGAATGTTGTGCAGGTATTGCTGCCTTAGCCTTGGCGCCTGCTTGATCCCGTAAAGGGACTTTCGTAGCTGACACACACGCGAATCTCCTTCACCGTATCTGTGCGGCTGCTCCACGTAGATGACTGCATCTACTAACGCGTACAAGAACAAGCTCTTCACGTCGATTTGGCACAGCGGCAGGTGCCTTGTGGCTCCGATGGCGAGCAGGATTCTGACGGAGGTGTGACGGCTGACTGGCGCAAATGTCTGGTCGAAGTCAATCCCGTGCCTCTAATCATAGCCACGCACCACCCAGCGTGCTTTGAACCGTTCGATCGTGCCGTCTGATGCGGTCTTCACGCAGAAGACCCACTTGCCAGAAAGAATACTTTCTCCCTTGATTGCAGCGCGGTCGACGAGCACCAAGGTGTCTCGCGACTCGAGCGCCTTAATTTCCGCATCCATCGCCTCGCGCCATTCCTTGCTGTGTGGTCCAGTGAGAGCTTGGCGCGGATTTTTCGGTTCGATGAAACGTGGCGCCGTTGAGGTGGCGGCGTGAAGCCCGAGAAGCTGTAGCCCGGAGACGGTGCTGTCGTGGCGATGCCGGGGGATGACCTTCTGTACGTCATCGTCATCACTATCTGGTTCAGGTGGTGCTGGTTGTGCCGCGCCTTTGCCGCTTCGTCCTGCTCCGCCGATTCCTCCTCGAGGGGAATCATCGTCATCGTCATCGCTGCTGTGGCGAACGCCTCTTGTGATTTCGTCCTTGGTGTCCTGCTCCAGGATAACTGCAGCGGCTTCGTCTTCAGGCGTTGCGTAGCTGGGCCCGTCATTGGCATAGACGCGGTTCGCATTCGTTCACTCGTCGTCGCGGAATTGCTCGAGGAAGAGCCGTTCGTAGAAGACAACATCACGCGCGTGGGTGGTTTTCTGCCTAAGTAGATCCAGGATGATCTGCGCCTTGTGCTCGTGGCTGATGCCGAGGTGGATCCCCCAGCGCGCACGGCTTGTGAATTTCTCGATGGTTGACATCGGCGAGTGGTACTACACCATGCACCCCCACACGTAGAGCATGGATGTGTTCCCCTTTGTTCCCGTCCACTTCAGATGCGGGGAAAAATTGCCGGTGATGGCGGTGGTTGATAGCAAATCATGCACCTGCACGGCATGGTGCATCACGAAGGTCCATTAGATTGGCGGAAGCTTCGACTCCTTCATTAGCACCCGCACCTTTGTCATGAGCGTGCGATTCGTGCGTTCAGCTACGCCCTGCTGCTGGTGCGCGTAGGGGAGAGAGATGTGATGCTCGATCCCCTTCTGCGCCAGGTAATCTTGCAGCTCCTTGCTCCTAAATTCTGTTGCGCCGTCTGATTGCCAAATTTACAACTTCTCCCCAGATTGGCGCTGCGTGGGCGCCAGCCACATCGGAACACTTCGTATGCTCTGCTGCGCGCTTCTAAGTTTACGACCCACACGTAGCGCGTCCCAGCGTCGACGAAGGTGAGTGTATACAGCCCATCATTGACTCCACAATGCTCGCTATACATCTTGTGCAGCTTGGGGTAGCGGTTGGTTCCTGGTTCGAGTAGTGGGAAAGGTTGATGGCTCAGCGCAGCTTCAGGGCAGACGGTGCAGTTGCGCGGATGTGTTGCGCATCTCACTTCGGTGCTGTCAGGGCGTAGGAGTGCGCTGGGTGCGAATACTCCTGCGTCGACGCATTTTTTCAGCGTCGCGCGCGAGGGATGTGCAAGGCGCTGGTTGTAAGAAACTAGAGATAGGAATGAATGAATTAGCAAGATGATGGGTACAAGTAGGAAACCCTAATTTGGGTTGTACCCTATATGGGCTACCCCACTACAGCCTACACAATAAGCAGCATATATGTTTGACACACCCCCATAGGCAAAGTGGGGGAGAACAAGGGGTCACACGACCAGTCAAGAGAAGCAAAGCAAGCTCAGGGTGGATCACAACGTCACCACACACTTTGAGCACAAGCAAAGGGCCACAAGGCCAGTTCACATGCAGAGATATATATGCAGCAATAACAGTACAGTGATGACTACCTAGCAAGAGCCAGCATGCAGGTATATAGATCACAGTACAAGCAAAGACTACAGCAAGTGTGGAAACGTAGGCACAAGGCCTAACAGGGTACAAAAGCGCTGATGATCACCAGACGGAAGTGCCTTGGTGAATATATCAGCAGTGTTGGCCCGAGTGGCCACGTGACGAAGACGAAGCTGGCCTCGCTGCTGCAACTCTCGAAAATGCAGAGCGATGTGCTTCGTTCTGTGCTCCAGTCTGTGCTCCTCACACAAGGCAATGGCCGCCTTGTTGTCAACGTACAGAACTGGAGGAGAACGAGGCCGCTCACCCAAGTCTGTCAGCAGGTAGGTGAGCCAGCGTAGCTCCTGTGCAACCATGGAGGTGGCGTAGATCTCAGCCTCACAACTGGAGCTGAGAACCGAAGACGAGCGTGTAGACCGCCAAGAAACAGAGCCAGAGCCAAGGCTGAAGGTGTAACCCTGTGACGACCGCTGTGTAGTCTGGTCGTCAACCCAAGACGCGTCTGAGTGCCCCGTGAGGACCACCTCACTCCGTCCTCCAAGCACGAGCCCCATGCCTGATGTACTGCACAGGTAGCGCAACACCCTCTTAGCAACATCCATGTGCATCTTTCAGTGCCTACCAGGAGCCACGTAGCGAGCCAAAAGGCCAAGAGGGTATGCAAGGTCAGGTCGAGTGCAGGTCATCAGGTACATGAGGCAGCCAACTAGCTCTGGGTAAGGACCACTCGGCTCTACGGACTCGTCCGAAGGTGGAGCTGAGAGCGAGTGACCTGTAGCCAGAGGAGTGGGCTGTGGGGAGGACCAGGAGAAGCCGAAGCGCTGAAGGACCTGCTGCACCATGTGTGACTGAGTCAGGGTGATGGTGCGGCGTGCTCTGTCCCGGGTGATCTGCAAGCCAAGGTAGCTGCGCAGCTCACCCATGTCTGTGCACGTGTGTCTCTTCTGCAGCTCCGACTTCACCTGAGC